TATGAAAACCCATGAAAAATCTCACCATGGGCTCTAAACCTGATAAAAACACACTTCAGAAAGACTATTAATGCTAAACTTCTGCCACATGATGACCTTAAAGTGCCAAACACAAAAGCATCTCTTAGGACCATTTTTCTAATGATAATTTGTCCTTGGCTTGGCCATCTCTTCTTTAACTACACACAACATCCTGCTAAAAGTCTGCATTTTAGTTGATTTTACAACAGAATATTACAACGTAAACTAAACAGGTTCTTGATATCAACAGTATGTTACCAAGGTTTTTAAATTTCTGAATCCAATAGTTGGTCACAGAGGTCAAGTATTATCAAGGCTCCTTTGTCAGCTCTCCATCGTGTCTGACTCATCCATCCTTCAAGTACATGCAAGGCTCAATAGTTTTCAGGAGGCAGAAGCCTGAGGCCATTTAAGACACTGATGAAATAGGATTGTGAGGTGAACCCATCTGGGTGAGAACTTTATCCAGCCACTGGAGTGGGCCATGCAGGTGTATCTCAATCCAGCAGGGGGTGCTCGTAACATCCTGGCGATGGTATTCTGCTCCCCAGCCCTAGAAATAACAACATAATAAATAACATGTCATTAAACTTGTTTAACTTGGTGGTTCAACTTATTAAGTAAACAGTGTTAGCATAATCAGAAGCTGGTTAAAGCTATGGACTTTTCCCACAAGAAATGTACACATGTGGAAGCCTATAATTTGTTGGGCAATCTCAAGGGATACCTAGGTGCTGTCCAGCCATGGATTCCAGATTAAGAATTCGTCTTGGGAAATGAGTTTTAATGTTTTAAAATACATTATCAAGTTATTTTAATGAAGATATTTTTTAACTTTCATATTTATTTCCCATTATATTATACTATTATTAAATTCTCACTTCATCATCAGCAAAAGAAGGAGAAACTTACAGATAGACATTCTGTTTTTTCCCTATTCAAGTGGTCAATTTGAGGCAGTATAAGGTTCTCCTATCAACGTAAACCTCTTTTTTTTGGTACCAGGGATCGAACTCTGGTCCTTGCACTTGCGCAGCAGGCGGTGAAACCACTGAGCTAAATCCCTGGCCCTGATGTAAACCTCTTGATCTTTCAATCTCTAAGCAAAACTGGCAGATCCATGTAAGTATTGCTAAACCCACCATTAAAGAGAGAAAAGTAATTTTGCTACTGCAAAGATACAAAACTTGAAAGTGTGAGTGGAAAAAAGAACATATAAGTTCTGATTAAGCCTTGTTTCATTAAGAAATCAGAAAAGGGCCTGGGGATTTAGCTCAGTGGTTCCACCGCCTGCCTCAAAAGTGCAAGGTCCTGAGCTTGATCCCCAGTACCAAAAAAAAAAAAGATATAAATGGTAGAATAGCAGAAAAGGTCAGGTTCCATTTATTTCTGCTACCTGCCTACAACAAATACACCGGAATATGGGCTGGGGATTTAGCTCAGGGGTTTTGTTGCCTGCTGCACAAGCGCAAGGACCCGAGTTCGATCCCTGGATCCAAAAAAGAAAAAAGTCATCTGAATATGAGAACTTTCTGGAAGAAGCTGTGATACTGAACTGCATCTGTAGGTATATACAACCATATTGTACAGATATCAATAAACAATTAAGTTAATGCAGGTTTATCTCCATTAGCCAGTAAATTCTTGGAAGGGAGTTGGTTATCTCTGACCTCCAATATTAAGCATAGTCACTGAACAGAGCAGAAGATCTACAAATACTTGTTTAACTGAACTGATTTAGATTTTTTTGGATACAGAAGGGCTTTAGGTGAAAATAAATTTATGAAATATATTTTCCATATCAATGCCCAAAAATGATCATCTTAAAAATAGCATAAAATTGGCTATTAACATTAGTAAAATGTTTTATATCATTTCTCCAAGATGTTGAATGGGAAAAGGTAAAGTATGCAGAGAATAAAGTATGGTAACAAAAAACAATGTTGTAAAAACAGTGTGCACTTGTTTTATTGCTAATATATGATAATCCCTTACCATGGCAGCAAGAGGTTTTTTTTTTGGTACCGGGGATCGAACTCAGGACCTTGCGCTTGCAAGGCAGGCGGCAGAACCACTGAGCTAAACCCCCGGCTCATTAGCAAGAGTTTTTTAATGAGATTTATCTTCAAATCCCTAAATCCAGTTTCCCAGCTATGTCTATTATATTTTGCATAATTCTCCATGCTAATGCATTATAAATACTCTTTATTGTGCTAAGGTTGCTTTTACTTGTGTGAAAGTAAAATATTAATATAGTGCAAAGTAAAATTGTTAAAACTGATTGGGTAATCAATATGAAATGAATCTTGAGAAAGCTATGCCAAGCATCAGAATCCTAAGTTGTTCTAGAGTGGTCCTCAGTAAAACTCATCCAGGGAGTTGAGAAATACTTGCCACAGTCCCAACTCCACCGACCCCCACTCTACACAGGCAGCAAGTAAGGCCCGGAGAAGAGGCCCCAGCCTTCAGCACACGGGCAAAACGGCAGCTAGAACCAGAACCTGCATGGCCCAATCCTCAAGTGCTGTTCTTCCCTCCAAGACAGTAAAAAGGAAACACGCTTCTGGCAACTCATTATACTCATTTAAAAAATCATCTGAGCCAAAATACTCAGTCAAAAATTAACAGTGGGGCCGGGGATTTAGTTCATGGTTCCGCCACCTGCCTCGCAAGGGCAAGGACCTGAGTTGGATCCCCGGTACCAAAAAAAAACCCTCCAACAAAAAAATTAACAGTGAATGTGAAAGATCAGTAAGAAAGGTATTTATAGTATCATATATACATGGCAATACGTCAAGCTCTTCAAGGGGTTAAAAAAAAACCCTAAGAACATTTAAGAGGTACCAGACTCAGCTGCAAAAACCAGGGTATTACATTTTGAGAAAAGCAGTAAGAGAACATACTGAGACTCTGCTAAGATGATTCAAAGAAGTAGAAAAAAAGTGATATTCAGGGAAGGATACCTTTGATCTACAGGATAATTAACAAAGGTTCCAAAATTATCTTCAGTAATAAATACATTACAAAACAGGTTTAACAACGAGTTAGGTGAGCTTCTGAAGAGAGAACATAAAAGCTGATTGCCTCACCCAAGTGTGTAATTAGTTCTGTTTCTCAGAGTAAGATAGGATGATAATTTATCTTTGAGCATACAGAGACAATTTCCTAGGACAAGTCACCAACTCATGAAATCTAACCAGGTATTTAAAAAATTTTAACATTTCAATGGCTTCTTAAAAAGGAATTTCAGAGAGGGAAGACAGCAAAGAGATCCAGTACTATGAGCAATGTCCTTAACCTTCTCTGCCCTTAACCCTTACACTTTACTCTTACAGCTTATAAGGCATCTATATCTTTAGGCAACATCCTACTTTTTTTTTTTTTTTTTGGTATCGGGGATCGAACTCAGGTCCTTCCTACTAATTTTTGAATGGCATTAAAAACATGAGATTTACTAGAAACAGTTAAAAAAGAAATAATTTTCAATGATATAAATTTTTATTTTTACAAGGAGATCACTTGCTTATTGTTGAAATCAAAAGCAACAAGTGTAACCATCGTGAAAGTACCACTAAAAACAATGAAAAGGAAGATGTATTTATTCAATTGTTCTCTTAAGACAAACATATATTGAAACCATAGGTTAAATACATAATATATTGTAACAGTATCATAATAGCTAAAATAGTGCTATCTGAATAAGGAAAAGGTTACTAAAAGCTACTGCTACTGACACTTTGCCCAGCACTTCTAGGTTCCAATGACAGTCTCTTAGTAATTGACATTCTTGTTAAAGCTGAAAAATCCCTAGGTAATCAATGGACATAATACCAAGGGGATATAGAGTTATATAGGTGAGAAAGCACAGCAAAATGTGTTAAGCCCATACTACAGAAGTCTAAGCTCACTTACCTTCACAAAACTCATGCGTATAGTGCACATTTTTGTGAGCTCATAGACTGTTTCGAAACCATGGTTCACAGACTGTGCCAATAACTGAGCAAATTCTTGGTTGTTAAAAATTTTTAAACTACATCCACTAGGGATTTTGCAAACAGTAGTGGGATGAAATCCATGATGGTAGTTGCAGTTCCGACTCTGCACAAAGATGCTACTGTCACTGAGGCATTCGGCATATACCTCCCCTCCAACATAATAAAGATGAACTCCTGTAGGAAGACAAAACATATCATTCTTTTATAGTTCAACACACAAATATACATTTGTATAGATTTAAACTCAGGCTAGTTAGATGTTCTCTAAGTCCTACAAAATGGATAAAATCTTAGTATAATAGCCACGTGTCAATAAGTATGTCTGGGAGTTTTCTAGGAAATAACAGAGTCTCTTGAAAATAATACCAGAGTGTAACAATTTCAGGTGGATGCAGTAGTATACATCTATAATCCCAGTGCTCTAGGAAGGTGAAGAAGGATTGCAAATTCAATTCAAACCCAGTTTAGAGAACCTCACTTAATGAGACTCTACCTCAAAATTAAAAATATAAAATTAAAAATAAAATTTAAAAGGGGTCACACTCAATGTGAAGGACCTGGGTTCAATTTCCAGTATCCTCCCCCCAAAACCCCAAAACCCACAAAAAAACAAAGTACAACAATTTCATTTTGGTAAGTATTTAATACCTTATTTGACCATGGTTGAAAGTGTATTCTCACTCTAAAAATACCATACAATAAAACCCGGACTTTACTGTGGGATCCTACAGGTAGTCATCATGTAAGTGTCTTGCATTTATTCTGCAGCTAAACTGTTTGGGAAATTTTAGAGAGTAGGGAGGATCAAGAAAACTGGAGGGGAAACCAGAGGTGGAAAAAGTATTGCTGAGAGCTATTAAGACATAAGGTCTAGCAACAAAAAAGTTGTGGCCTTAGTGTATGAAGTAAGAGCTCACCAAACCAGCAGCTGCTGCAGACTTCCTGTGAAACTTGGAGTTCCAGGAGTGGAAGAAATTTCATCTGACCTAGCCTTTTAAGGAGGAACACAGAAAACTCCCCTCCGACAAAGCTCCACACCACTAAAGCAGATTATATGGGCTGCTCAGCATACAATGTTATATTCTTTATGTGGCTTTAAACTATACACCTTGCAGGTAACTATGCCATGCCACAGTCAAGACTAAAAGAATGAAATATCATGTGTAGTGTTAACATTTCTGTAACAATTAAATAGCTGTTAAGGCAGACACCCAATTTTTAGCCTGACATAGGGAGAACTAAGATAGAAGTTTTTCCATGATCATAAACTTTCATTTTAGAAAATTAAAAAGTAAGAATATAAAGAAGCAGAAAATACTATCCCTCTGTTAGTCCATCTCTTTGCAAACACAAACATATGCATGATTGTACGGACGATTTACTCAATGATTTTCCCATTAGCAGACCACTGTGTTGACACTAATTTTCTGTTGTTATAACAATGACATGATAAATGCCTCTGGATGATTTTTAATGATATCCTTACAAGAGATTCCTGGAAGTTAAATCACCAGATCGAAGGCTTTTGATTCACTTTGCCAAATGACTTTCCCGAATGCATATATCAATTTACACCCTCACCAGCAGCATGTGACTGCTCTCCTTACTCCACCCATGCCAGTACTGAATCTGAGCTTAAACAAAAGTAAACTTCCCTTAATTTATAGCTGAAAATAAATACAATTGCTTTAATCTATATGAGGCTGGATGTGTTCTCCCAATTTATTAGCCACCTGTTTCTCCTATGAATTCACTGTTTGTATTTCTTACCTGTTTATCCCACCGGGGTTCTGTATTTCTATCATTTTTTATAAACTGTGCATATAGGCAGGATATAAGTATCTTTTTTCTTGTTTAATCCAGAGAAGTCTGAAATCCTTTAGTCAAATCTCTCATCTTTTTTATTGCCTTGTATCTTTAAAACATTTCCACCTTTTTGATCAAATCTATTTTCTTCTACTTTTTTGTGTTTTGAAAAATACTCACCAGTCTATCTGCATATATATATATGTGGTCAGAGTTTCTTCCCTAGCTCTTCCAAAGGTTAACTTTTGTTCCTGCAGGACCGTTAGAAGACTGCTGGATTTTTATGTTTCATTTAACATTAAATTTTTATATACAGTACAGTCTGAGTTTAATTTATTCTATTGTTTTGCCAACACACTGGTTTATTTGTAGTATTTACAATGCTTTATCAACCCCAATACCAGGAATTTTTTTTACTCATTCATTAAAAAATCTCAGCTATTCTCACTTTCCTATCCGTCCAGGTAATACTCAGAATACGTTAATATATTACTCACCTTTCAAAAAAAAGTTACAGTTTGTTTTAAACTAAAAATTAAATTAGGAAAATACCTTAAAACTCTTTTACAATATTAAGCCTTCCCCTTAAGGAAACTAGACTGCCTTTTTTTTTTTTAATTTTCTTTCTCTCTCAGTATATTAGATTTCCTTTATATAATTCTCACATACTGCAGGCTTAGATTCTTTCCTAGAAATTTATGTTTTCTGTTGCTATTAGAAATGCAATTTCTCCCTCTGTTACATTTTCTAAGTTGTGACTGCCAGATAGAGGGCAACTGACATAATTTTTTCAAAACTGGATTCTTTTCCGGGCATGATGGCACACGCCTGTATTCCCAGCACTTGGGAGGCTGAGGGAGAAGGATCACTTCGAGTTCAAGGCCAGCCTCAACTATATAGCAAGACCCTGTCTCAAAACAACAACAAAACAGATTCTGTGGCAGCTTCTAGATAAACAATGACACTTGAATACACAATGCTCATCCATAATACTGGTATGGGCAAAAGGAGAGGCACCGGTATACTTCTGGTAGGAGTGTAAATTATTAAGAGCTTTCTGGAAAGTAATGTGGTAAAATATATCAAGAGCTTTTGGTCTATTAATTTCACTTCAAGAATTGATCCCAAGAATATCATCAATCAATCCTATCATCTACAAATAATGACAATCCTGGCTTATTTTCATTATCTCTAATTCTACATTTGCATACACTATTCCAGTGCATCTGGAACAATTTTAAGTTATAGCATTTCCAGAATCCTTGTTTTCTTTCTAATTTTTCTAAGAGGAAATTATACAATGGCTTCTTACTACCTTAGGGGAATAATCACTTTACAGTTTAAAGAAAAATAAATCCTTCTATCCCAAATGCAAAATTGTGTTTATATACAATTTCAGGGGTTTACAAACCACAGAAAGATATTTATGAACCTAACTTTTAGCATTTCATAACTAAATATGTTGTTTAGGTTTTGTTTCCTTTAATCATATTAAGAAAATATCAATTCCTGCTTTAAGAGTTGAATCTCCCTCCACTCCTAAAATTAAATGTTAAAATTTTAAGCATATATTATATAACCTTTTAATCTGGTCCACTACTATAGATTTCATAGATCATTTTAAAAATCTTTTATTCCAAATATAAATAATTTCAAATTTGTAGAAAAAATTAAAATAGAACAAAGAAAAAGAGTACAAGCACCTGTATGCCATCATCCAGATTCGTCTACTGTGACAATTTACTCCATGTGCTTTATCATTTGCACACCCCTTCCCCAATGCGCACATGCATGTACACACACACACACACACCTGTATGTATTCTGACACAGGACTGTGTGACAGACCCAGATAGATGGTAAATCAGTATTATATAGAGAGAAAATATATGTGTACATTTACAGTAATGTCTTGGTTAATGAACGGTTCTGTTTGCAAATAATTCACTTTTCAAACAAAAGCATTCAGCAAAATTTTGCTTCCGTTCACATATTCCACATTGAGTGACAAACACGGCCACGGCCATCTTCCCCACACAAACACAAACACAGCCACCTTCCCCAAAATCACAAAACAAATTAAGTTCACAAACCGAGGGACCACTGTATATATCAAATCTTATAGTCTTCCTAAACTGTTTCAGTGCCTTGTGTGTGTGTGCGTGCATGTGTATAATCTTCCTCAATTATTTCACTACAGTTCTTTACTCTGATATACTTAACTGTGTAAAGTGTGTATTTTCTAAGAAAGATGTTAAGATAGCTTCTTGCACAGCCACCGTACCATTAGCGATGTCAGCAAATTTAACATTGACAATATTTTTATCTATTATAACATTAATATTTCAGTTTTGCCTGGTGACTCAATAGTGTCCTTTATAGTATTTGTTCCCTGTCTAGTACAGGATCATGTCCAGTTCATTTTTAATCTGAAACATTTCTACATCTTTGTCTTTTGACAGATGTAGCTACTCCTCACTTTTTAAAGCAGAATGTTCCTCATTTGGGGTTTATCTGAAGTTTCTTCCAGACAGGCTGAGATTCGCATTGTCAGCTGGAATTCTAAACAGATGATGTTCAGGCCTTCTCTGGGTATCACATCTGGAGGTATATGTTTTACATTTGTCTCTCATCAGCAACGATAAGTTCGATCCCCAGTCAAGACACGGGTCAATTACACAGTTACAAATTATACGATTTCTCCACTGTGTGATTAAGGCTTTTTATTGCCCCTGTATCTAATAGGCAGTTTATAGGGAAATAGTTAAACCCATGAAAGTACCCTGATTCTTACAATTTTAAAAAGTTCATATATATTTAGCATTCATTGACGATTCTTGCCTGATTCCTTAATATGTTGGTTGCAAAATGCTCGTTCTCTACAACTCATTCTACATTTACCAATGGGTCTTCTCAATTCACTTATTTATCTATTTATTATTGTTATGCCCATATGAATTAGTATTGTTTTTAATGCATTAAAATTCATAACATTATTTTAATTAACTGCACTTAATTAGTTGCCCCATGATATCTGCAGATTAGGAATCCATAGATTCAACCATTCTCAGATAAAAAAAAATTTTTAAACGCATGTGTACTGAACACGTATAGACTTTTGTACTTCGTTGTGATTCCCTAATCAAACAGTATAACTCTTATTTACAGATAAGAGACAGCATTTACACTGTATTAGATAGAACTAAACTAGAGAGAATTTAAAGCAGATGGGAAAGTATACTTATTTATTCAGGATCCTGAGCAAATCTCCCATGGATACCAAAGGACGACTGTTTTGTGCTCAAACTGAGAGTTGTACAGGGGAAGCCTCTCTATGCTGGCTCCTGTGACATGCTCCATCACTTGGACAAGTGTTTCTTTACTTTCTGCCATAACAAGATGTTCCAAGCTCATCTTGATCCAGCCTTGGAACCAGCCATTTCTCTAAAGAGCCCTGGTTCCTCTTAGTGGGAAATGGCATTAGTAGAACTGATGATCTAGGTACAAGATGTGCTTTTTACTGTTAAGTGTCTTTGCTTCTTGGTGTGTTCAGCAGACAGATCAGAAAGTATATAGACACACACACATAGATTTATACAGACATACGCAGTATGCTTGAGAACATAAACATAAATGCATTATTAAAATTATGACTGCCCACTGACATCTCCATTTACCTCCACAATATTTATCTTTTGCCCTCCTTCATGTACATATGTTCCTAATTCCAGTGAAAATCAGGCATTGAGCAATAGTCATACATTTAGTCATTTCCTTAATTAAAATGAGATTAGTATATGTTTGCCATACATAATAAATATATTCATTGTGGGGGGTTTAATCTTATGATTATCTAAAAGATACAAAACTGTTTCACTCATCCACTAGTAAATAATTGAATCTACTAAAGAGACTCTTCTATAGCAAAACATAAGACAGAACAGTGCCCCCAAACAGCAAATCTCACTTTCAGCTAATTCAATATTATGAGACATCATAAAAAAGGGTATCATAAAAATTATTGATTGGAGGAACTTCCAAACAGTACAAATTTGAAAATGTTTCCAAATGGCAGCAACTGAACATTACCTGCTCTTTGCAATGCCAGTTTGCCAGAGGAATGACTGAGTCACCTCTAGGGGAAAAAGGATACAACAGATAAACAACCCCACAGGGGTCAGAGTGCAGGCTCACCTTTTCCAATGTGCCGCCTGGTGTTTTCGATAGTGGAATTCCGGTTAACATTGGAGAGCAGCCCAAGGCAGAAACGGTTCTTATTGTTGGAAGGATCGGTGAAGCCATCTACCAACACGCTTGTGGAGGAGGCATGGAACGCTTCACCCACACGGTTATTGAGCTCATAGTAGACAATAGAACACCAATGTTTTGGTTCCTCATAAGCAACTGCCTGAACATCTGTAAAAAAGAAAAGGTTCCATCAACCAAAGTTTGTGCCTCAGGCTCTCAAAAACTAAAGTGTTGCAAAACTGGCCCAGGATCACCGAATGAAGATGTGGGAGGGCAACTGCGATGATAATGCCTACAGTTTTTCTATGATATCTTACGTAGGCGCTTATTAAGTGACAGTCTCCTTTAGATGGAAAACAATTTTCTGCAATTACTATCAGAAAATTAAAGCACCAGCTAAGCAAGCCTAGCAGCAGCGCTTTCTGAATACTAACAATATGCTATTTGCTCTTTAGTATGCAGAAATGGAAATCACCCCGACTACAGACTCAGGCTTACCACCCAAAGAAATGCAACAAGTGCCAGGCAAAAAAACAAGTGGTCGGAGAACAAGAGAGGCCCAGAGATCTGCCAAGGGTGCTGGCATAAAAAAAGACTTACTTTTGGCAAAGCCTCAGTATACCTATGCTTTTTTAAAGCAATAAAAATCAGTTTTTAATTATGAATAAGAAGTTACTTCACATCAAGTTGCCAATAATGATCACAGCTCTGGTTTTGCTCTAGTTTTCAAACTCAGGAAGAAGTCTTGCCAGCTGGCCCTTCTTACAGAATGAATCATATCTCTCTCATCCAGATTTCATGCTAACTTCCTTATATTTGCTTTAAGTCATGCAGAGCAGGTGTGTTTTGTCTCTCCATTCCCAGAATGGGCCAACAATGGAAATTACCCAACTTTACTGACAGGATGCAGCTTGTTAAGTCAAATCTCTTAAGACTAACAAATCTCCAAAGAGAACATGCTTCTAAACACTTGCAACTAAAAGGTTTTAAAGATAAGTTCCTTCTGTGGTAAAATCTCTCGTACTGCTGCTTTAGAGATTCCAGGAATACAAACCGTAATATTTCCAGCACACCAATATACAGTGATCTGAGGTTTATGAAGTCTTGGGAGTACAATCATAAAAAATTGAAGAAAATCCACATCAAAGGCACTGTTAAGGGACAAGTACCTCTGTGGGTTTTTTTGTTTTGTTTTGTTTTTTTGGTACCAGGGATCGAACTCGGACCTTGTGTTTTCGAGGCAGGCACCGGAACCACTGAGCTAAATCCCCGGCCCTCCTCTGTGTTCTTAACATCAACCTCCACAAGTACTAAAATGCACTTCATTTTAGAATTTAGTAAAGAAAACAAGGAAAATGACAATTTAAAAACCCATATGTTAGTTGCTTTATATACTTAAGTAGGTCATCTTAAAACACACACTATTTTCCATTTGATAAGCAATACTCCCCTGTCAATCTGGTGTGCTTCAGAGGGCAAAATATTAGTGATTTATAATGACAAATCTTAAAGAACGCTGAAAAATTAATAATAGAAGGGTTTTTATCAGCTATCTGGATTATTCAGAATACTATTCATCTAGGTCAGAGACATACAATTTTTTTCTACAAAAGGCCAGAAAGATTTTGTGGAACATATGGTCTTTATCAAAACTCTGCCCTTGTGCTGCAAAAGCAATCATAGATAATAGTCAGTGAATGAACACAGCTGTGTTCCAATAAAGCTTTATTTACAAAAAACAGGCAGCACACTAGTTTGCTGACCCCTGCTCTGCAAAAACCACTGAAGGCAACAACAAGAAAAAGGTCAAAGTTTTCTTCCTTAGGAAAATATTAACTGATTGTATAGTTGCTCAAACGGGGAACATTTTAAAGGTGATTTAAAAGAAAAAAAATCTTGAAGCTCTGTCCATTTCCTGACTTTGACACCTCAGGTTTAATGACAACGGTTAAGGGTCCTCGTGCTCCTAGCACTGTGCCCGTCCCTTCCTGCCATCCTGCTCCCCAAACACAAATCCCTAAAATGTGTGAGACAGGAGTTATTTTCCCAACCCGAGTCTTTGTTGGTTTGTAATTACATGTTTCAGAAGATGTTCTAGAAATGATGAGGAACCATAAAATGGAGTCAAAAGAGATTCTAAAAAGTTTTACTGATTGAAGAGTTGTACATCGCAATTTATCAAACTGTGTGGTTAAAAAGCTTCTGTGAGTTCATCATCATTTTCAGAAATTAATTTTTAAAGAGCAAGTTTAGGTACGCAGCCAATTTGAGGATGAAGTACAGAGATTTCCCATATGCTTCCTGCCCCTACAAATGCACAGCCTCCCCTGGTATCAAGGAATCTATACTGACACATAATTATCACCCAAGTCCATAATTTAGATTAGGGTTCATTCTTAGTGTGGTCAATTCCATAGATTTGGATAAATGTATATGATGGCATTCAGCTATTATTACTGTATCACAGACATCATCAAATTTTGGTACTTAAAGAATATAAGCAAACCAAGTGTGGCGGCCCATTCCTGTGATCCTGGCATTCTGGGAGGCTCAGGCAGGAGGGTCCCAAGTTCGAGCCCAGTCTGGGAAAATTACCAACAGCTTGTCTCAAAATAAAAAAATAAAAGTAGGCTGGGGATGTAGCTCAGTGCAAAGGCCTTACATTTAATCCCTCGCACCCCCTACAAAAAAAAAATCAACTCTGACAATGTCCAAGGAATCTCCTATTCTAACAAAAAGATCTGCTAAGAATAAGACATATTTAGCAATCAAGTTGCATTTTTAACTTCAACTTACATGAACTTTATACAAATTGAATAATTCATGCCAGGTGTTAAGGGCACCAGCGAAGCACTTTGCTCCCTAAGAGTCGGCCTGGAAATAGTTTAATTCCCAGCATGACCATGGCTTCCTCCAAGTGCTCTAGAATTCCACCACTTACTCACCTGAGCTCTCCGTGCCCTTAAGACCACTAAACTGGCAATTGGAAACTTGGAAGAAATATAGCATCCTTCACTCAGTCATCATCAAAGATAATATGGAGGAAATAAACACCCATCCTTCACTAGAGACAAAGAAACTTCCAGCTTCAAGGGGAGAAATGGCAAAACTTGTGCCTCAATTTCTTTTCTTGTTATACTTATTTATTTCAATTAGAAGCAAATACACCTAGAAACAAATGCTAGTTGGCAGTTTCAGTTGTAGGGATACATAAATGAAAGGCTGGAAGAGAGGATTTATGAATATCTTTTCTAACCACAAAAGAAACCTTGTGGAAACTCCAGTCAGACGAACTTCCAATGTTGAAAGTTATGGGTGAAAAGTTCACTTTGGAGTTATGCTCACTGTTTCCTGAGTCCCCCTTGTGCATTTAAAAACATCCTTTACATCACCAATTCTAACTGATTAAGTATTGAAGATCTACACAGATGGCTGCACAATTATGCTCAGGCTTTTGGTAGTTAAGACAGTGTGTTTGCTTCAAAGACGTATTTATTATGCAAAGAATGTTTTCCATAGAGCTTCTCTACCTATCTCAAATACTTATCTTTTAAAAAACCAATAGAAGTTTGTGAGAGAAACACTAGGATGTATAGACTTTAGACCCGAGGCCCCAGTCCCTGGGCCACTGGTACTGGTCGGCATCTGCTGGGATATGGGGTGCACAGCGGGAGGCGAGCAGTGGGCGAGTGAGTGAGGCTTCACCTGTATTTACGGCTCATCATCACCTGAGCTTTGGCTCCTGACAGACCAGCAGCAGTACTGGAGTCTCACAGGAGAGCAAACCCTACTGTGAGCTGCACGTGCCGGGGACCTATGTTGCACTGCTACTTATATGAATGTGAATGTAATACTAATAGAAATAAAGTGCAAAATAAATGTAATGTACTTGAATTATACCAAAACCATTCCCTATGCTCCCACCTGTGGAAAAATAAATCTTCCACGAAACTGCTCCTTGGTACCACAGAGGCTGGGGACCACTGTTTTAGCCTCTAAAAAGGAAACAAGCAGCAACTCATTTTACCTCCTCTGCTGATTTCAGAGGGCAGTGAAGGCGCCATCATATTTGTGTCCATTGGCTGAGAACCATCCTGAGTCATGGGGTCTTCAGGTGGCAGGTAGGCAGGTGGAGGTGTATCAGCTGCAAAGTTTAAAAAATTATGCTTAAAACATTCTCTTGTGAAATGAAACTCTTAAGAGATCAAGCTGCCATTTTAACTTCATCAAAAGACTGGATGCTACAGACACGGCTTGAGGTACAGCTTCTGAAAATTATTACCACTCCTAAATCTTCTGTGTCTTTAGTGCCAATGCAATGGGAAGAAAAGCGATGTATGGCAGTTCTAGGAGCTTTCTATCCAGGAACATTTAATTAACAATTAAGCATACTCTCCTGCAGGCCACTCTGAGAGGAACCGCACTTCACTTTTACTAGTGAGTTGAGAACATTTAAAGCTACCACACATGGCACTTATTAAGAAAATGAGTTTTCAGGGTCTCTTGTATAACATGTATGGGCTTTTAGGAATTTGCCAGCTGAGTTTCACTACAACCTATTGATTTATTAGACTGTTAATTTGCCAGGACTTTAAGCAATCTGTTAGAACTGTCTTCTCCCTATCCACTTAAATAATCCCTAAAAACCGAAAAATAGAAAACAAATCAGTTTATCTTTGCTATTTTCTATCGCAGAATTTATATATATTTTGGTTTCTTCTGAAGAGCAGACAGCTGGCAAACAAAATGACTTCCGAAACCACAAACACTAACACAAGTCTGGTGTTTTCTTATAAACAATCTTTTGCAGTCCAAACTTCAGGTCCTCACTGGCTCTTCTGAGCCTATCTCGCATATGTGACAGCCTTGGGAACCAATTTTTATCCCCGGGAATCAGGAATGTGCAGATTGGTACCCAGGGTAGCCGTGGAACCCATAACTAACACTGCTCCTTCTGGCTCTGGTTCTTCAGTGACTTCCCCGACTCACTGAACCCAGAACCCTACTGTGGCCTTCTTCACTGGCAATCTGCGGCATCAGCACGGCTCAGAGGGACGAGATAATTACCAATTACCGGGGCTGTTCTTCTATTGCCACAAGCGCTTCCTCCTTTCCCTTTTCCATGTTTCTGCTACTTGGTCTGTCCCTTAATCCCTGACAGCCAAGGACAAAGTGGGAATTGAAGCAATAATCTTCAGGGTTTTTAGCTGAGCTCACCTGGGGATGCAACTACTGCAAAGACCTCTGAAAGTCATCTTCTCACCACTAACCTAACCGTCAACCGCCCAGGGTTGGTAAGGGAGTGGGGCGGACAAGAAATCACCAAATATTATCAATTTGATTTTCAAACTACTCTATCCTCCACATTCATCCCAGTTTTCAATCAGAATATCAAACAACACAATGCAAAAGAAACTGGCTTGAAATAAAGGGGAGTAACAAAAGCATGAAAAATATAAAATGTGACCACTTCTCATTTTCTGAAGGCTCAGTGCTGATAATTTCAAATTTACTTAAAAACATTTTAAGTAGCCTAACAAACATGTTTTCCCTGTCACTTCCACTTCCCAAAATGTTAACTGATTCCAAGTACAAGAGCATCCTTGAGGTCTACTGGCAAGAAATTTAGTACTATTCTTTTCTTTTCTTTTTTTTCTTTTGGTACCAGGGATCGAACTTGGGTCCTTGTGGTTGCAAGGCAGGCAGCAGAATTCCTGAGCTAAATCCCTGGCCCCTTGTACTACTCTTTTCTAAGATGCTTATTAACCTATAATTTGAATGTAATGTCCTAATTAGTCATTTATTTTGATAGCTATTACACCATCAGTTGTGTCTAAAAAAGGAAAATAATTGTTCTTTTGTCTTTGCAAAGTTAAACAAGCAGATGGTTTCCAGTACTTCTGTTGTAATCCCTTTGTTGTTAAAGTGTATGTTTCTTGGGATTACATCACCATTTAAAGAAATTTAATTAAACGGGGTGTGTGTTAGCCTTCACGATCTATCTTTTCGGAGGTTGCACTTATAGCAGGGGTTTTTCCAAGTCTGAAATGATCTTGATTGAGGGTGTGTTTCTTATAACTTCATGGTGTGTAACAGAGTATTTTTCTTTTATCAAGAGAAAGACTGTAACAATTAGGCCACACCCAAAGGATGCAGCTGTTTCAAAACTTTTTAAAATAAAGGGAAAATACAGCTAATTCAAGCATCTGTGCCTGACAGATACAAGTCATTTGCTTCCTTGGCTGGGACCTCCTTCCACAAACGCTACCCTGGAGCTCTGGCGGACCCCACCTGCCCTCGACCACAAACACCCTCGCTTCCCCTCCTACCTGGCATCTGGAAAGGGCTGCCTGGGTCTGAGCTGGTAGGAGAGTGAGGGTAGGTGCTGCTGCTGCTTCCGGGAGAGTTTGGGTAACTGCTGTTGGGAGAATGGGGAAATGGGTGGCTGTTGGGTTGCTGGAAAGAATCCGGAAAGGTGGCGTTGAGTGGCATGTGAGGCTCGTTTTGTCCCAAGGTACGGAACTGAGCTAGGAGGCTGTGCTGAGGATTATATTCGCTGTGTCTTGGAACCAGCACTGGAGGAAGAACTGCAAACAGGGAAAGGAAAAATAAAAAGACAAAAATGAACACGATGAAAACTCTTATCTCCAGTAGGATGAAACATGACCCATGACAACACATTATCGGAATCCTGCCCAGGTGCCAACTGAAGCACAACCCAAATGAAAAGTCATTTTATACTCAGGAACAAGTACAGTCTCTAGAATCACAGATGGCTTATGTCTGAGATCTGTCGCATGGACGAACTGTTTGAGGAAAGTCTGAAAAATATGTTCTTTTAGGTTAAAAATGTTAAATTCTCCCACTCTTAATTTTTCCATTCACTAAAACCCAAAGTACATTGAAGGATATACAGTATATCACCACTGATGATTCCACTTCACAGCCCTGCTAAGAATTCAGAGTTAATAATTATTGAATGATAAGGGTTTTAAACTGACACACTCACTTTAAAACAAGAAACAGTAAATAAAGTTGAGACAAATACAGCGAGCCATATAACATTCAAAGGCCAGTGAAGGGCCAGGGATGTAGCTCAGTGGCGCCACACTCCTAAGTTCGATCCCTGGCACCAAAACAAAACAAAACACAACACAACAACAAAGACCAGTGAAGAAAGTTAATTACACAAACTATGATGTTCTGTGGAGAATTTATGTTGTGTCCAGTCCTGGTAGCCATACTTTGCCAGCATCTTTTCGCTAAGCATCTTAATGAATTTACCCACTTCTCAACAATTCTTAACACTACCTGATAGGCCAAGGAGGATGCAGGAATACAATCCATGTTCTGCTAACTGAAAACTCAAGTTACGAAGGCCCAAATGGCAGACAACTGTGAGAAGCAAAAACTGCTCCTGTCACTCCTAAAAGCTCAGTATATTAGGAACCTGAGGAGTCCACAAACAGCATGGTCATCAACCTCCAAAAACTCCAGGCCAAGCCACCAGGATGCACTGGCCAATGGTCAGTTCCAGAGCCTGAACCGGGGTGAGACCCGGAGCTTCCTACCAGGTCACCAGAGGGCTCCTCCTAACCACAAAGGCCTCGCACTAAGAGGAGAAAAACCCATTTTTAAACTGCATGTCCCTTGTACTCAGCCCTCTCACACTAACCTCCTCAACCAATTTCACTTGTTAATCCTTGTTTCTTCTTGAAGAAAAAAAAAAAGAGCATGCTTTCTTATTTTACCACAAAGAAAGCCTACTGCCTATACTTTAACCCTTTGCTTTTTTAAAAACACTAGAAATAACTTTATATTAGAAAGAACTGCATATTAGGCTGCCGTAACAAAATACCATAGACTGGAGTCCATATGCTAAAATTACTACATGAATGTATGGAGATGGTCCCAATTTGTTTTTATAACTAATCACAGTTTATCAATTGATCTCCCATGTTGAAGCCTTTGGGTAGCTTACAATACTTTACCATTACATGTAATGCTGCATTGACTCTGAATATGTACTGCAGTGTGATTAAACTCCTACTTGTAGACATGCTGAGTGAATGGAGAAATGCACATGTAATTTCATTATCTTCAAATACCCCTTTGTAGGGAGTTGCACCATTCTGCAATGCCAGCAGTAATGTATGCCTCTGTCCCCAGCCTTTCCAAGCAGATTTTGTCAAACTTTTTTTTTTTTGACAATCTGGTTGGTGAGAAATGGTATTTTGGTGCAATTTTAATTTACCTTTCTCTTATGGTGAAAGTTGATCATCCTTTCGTGTATTTCTTTTTTTTTTTTTTGGTACCGGGGATCAAACTCAGATCCTTGCGCTTGCGCAGCGGGCGGCGAAACCACTGAGCTAAATCCCCGGCCCCTTTCATGTATTTCAGAAAGTGTTTTTCATATCTTTTATCAATTGTCTGCCTGTGCCTTTCTGCCCACCCATTTCTGGCTTTTTCACTCTTCATAATGTATTAGCCTGTAATTTATTTTGCAGATTATTTTACTATAACCTGTCATTTGTGTTTATGTGCCAAAGTGTTTCATATGGACTCTGAGTCATAGAAAATCTTTTAAATCCATATTAATGAAATTATCCATGCATTCTTCTGGTACATATACTAATTTCATTATTTAGATTTATGATGCATTTGGGCCTTAGTTTTATTTTTTTAGTTTTATTTTAACCAGTTACCCCAACACCATTTACTAAAAAGTCTGTCTTTGTCCTAGTCACTGGAGATCCTTTTAAAAAACAATGTTCAGGTCCATTTTTATTTTATTTATTTGGGGTTGTTTTGCTTTGTTTTGGAGACAGGGTCTTGCTAGGTAGTTCAGGCTGGCCTTGAACTCCTGGCAATCCTCCTGCCTTGGCCTGCCAAGTGCTGGAATTTTAGGCGTGAGCCACCACACCCAGCAGGGTCCATTTTTAGACACTTTTTTCTATCTTGGTCTGGGTTCAGTAACACTGTTTTAATTATACAGGTTTTAACACCTGCCAGGGCTAGACCCTCTCACAGTTCTTTCCTTTCTGGTGTTTTCTTTGCATGCTGTTTTTCCATATGATTGTAATTACTACCTTATCTCTTGAAAAAAAGTTATTGGTATTTTATTGAGATCACATTATAGTCATAAGTCAACAGCAAATATCAGTATCTTGATGAGGTTCAAATGCTTTATTCAATAACTAGGAAGATCTGTTCAAGTCTGTTTGTCTTTTTGTAGGGAGGGCACTTGGGCATGAACCCATGACCTCACACAGGCCGGGCAAGTGCTCTGCTGCTGAGGTGTACTCCTACCCCCTTTTAAATTTTGAGACAAGGTCTCGCTATGTAGTCCAGGCTGCCTCGAAACTGTGACCATCCTGCCTCAGCCTCCCACGTAGCTGGGATTACAGGTATGTGATTCATGCCTGACTCACTGATGTGACTTGCTCTGTAGGTGCTATATCAGTTTGCTAAGGCTGCCATAACAAATTACTGCAGACTGGCGCCTGAAACAACAGAAATTTATTTTCTCACTGTTCTGGAGGTTGAACACTCAAGATGAAGGTGTCTGGCTGGTCAGTTTCGCCTGAGACTTTTCTTCTTGGCTTGCTGATGGCCCTTTTTCCTCGTATCGCTGCATGTCCTAAGCCTTCTTAGATACTACAAAGATTGCACTAGGACTCCCACCTTGCTCTCATTTTAACTTAATTTCTTCCTCACAGGCCTTGTTTCCAAAAACACACTCTGTAGTACTTGGGGTTAGAGGTTCGACATGAATTCAGGGGAGGGAGTACACAGCTAGGTCCCTAACACCACACGCGGGACCTGTGCATTCCCCTCACCATGCATCAAAGGCTTTTGGAAGGTGGTAACTGGATCATGAGTGTGGGCATCGTAAATTGAGGGAAATGCTGGAGGTGACAGAAACAGGAGGCGAGGCCTAGTTAACGGCAGTGGACGAGAGGGACATGACTTTAGGGACTACCTCTGTCTCTGGCCCCTTCCCTCTTGGACCCTCTCATCCTCTGCTTTTCGGCAGCTACAGAGTAAACAGCTGTCCATGATGCTTCTGTCTTAGAGCCAGGCAACCATGGACTGAAATCTCTGAAACTGTAAACCAAAACAAATCTTTCTTCCTTTAATTTGCTATTCTCAGTTCTTTTATCACAGTGACAGAAAGCTAACAAACTTGTTAAACCGACTGAGCATTATGTATTTTCTACTGTTCTTTTAAGAGGAGTGTGCCATTGTATCTTTCAAGTGGTAATTATAGATGCAAAGTTTCTGTTATGTTCATTTTATTTTTGTAGTCTGCCTGAATTACCTTGTTGTCTGAACTAATCATTGTTTATAGAGTTCTCTAGGTATCTGATCACGTCACTGACAAAGAGTTTTATTTCTTCCTTTCCATTGTTTTCTCTTGTCCAACTGCACTGGCTCATAGCACCAACAGAACGTTAAGCAGGAGACAGCCAACTTTCCTGCCTTCTAGACGCTGTTGGGAATACCAGTGTTTCCTCATTAAGACGCTGACTCTGGTAGGAAGTGTTTATACACTGCACTGGAGAAGTACCTAAACTATTACTATAGTTTAGTGTTTCTATTAGAACTGCGTGTTAAATGTTTATCAGAGGCTTTTTTGGCATTGTTAGGATTTTTCTTAGACTTTTTAATATGGTAAATTATTCTTACACTTTTAGCATTAAACCTTCTTGTCATGATGTACTACTTTAAGATCTAATCACTAACATTTAAGATTTTTATATCCATAGTTTCTCTTAGTTGATAGAAAATAGTTTCATGCTATTAGTCTATTCTTTGTAAGAGGATCTTTTTGTCTGAGTAACTATTTTGACGATGATACACAGTGCATTGTCTATTATTTTGTTATGAAATTTTTATTTTTAAAAAACAAATAATAAAGATTTTTACATTGATATTCATAAGTGGAACTGGTCTAACTTTGTGTGTTCTTTTAATCACATTTTGGTATCAATGTTAACACTTGCTTCATAAATGTTTGTATGCCTGAAGCAGTTCTATGTCTGTAGACAATCTTGTAATTTCTGGTTGACTCCCTCTGGTGCTTTCCTGTGGACCAGTCTGTGGATAAATTTCTCTAGCGTTTCTATGGACAGAAATTTAATTCTGTAAACTTTTTTTAAAAAGAAAACTATCCATTTCATCTTGGCTTTCAAATTTATTTGTATACAAGTATGTAAGTTAACCTTATAATTTTCCTCTCTATATTAACAGCTGTTTCTGCTTGTTTATTTTTTTCTATTTGTGCTTTCCTTTATATTACCTAGTCCCTGGTCTTTTTTTTTTGCCCCTTCTACTTCCTCAAACCATGATTCAGATTTGCTGATTTGATCTATTTTTCTAATTCTTTGTCTTTTTTTTTTTTTTGGTCTTTTATTATCTCATTCCTTGTACTTTTTTTGATTTACTTTGATGTTTCTTTCCTGGATTTTTGATTAGGAATATAAAATTCATTTATTT